GGCATGTGGTGCTGGGGGATCGAACCGCGGTCCCTGTGCTTTGCCAAGCTTGTTTCAAGTAGGTGCTTTAGACCACTGAGCCATCTCTCCAGCCCGCGAGGCTGCATCTTTTGAGGCTTGTGTTGCTTACACGCTGAGGAAGAGACATGAAGAATCCAAGATTTAGTTTTATTACAAATTAGGTGGTCATTTGGGGTTGGACAAAGCCTCAGGGACAGATTCTTTTGGTTTTTAAAAAAGATAGCAATGAGAGACGGCGTGGTGGTGCCCACCTGTAGTTGCAGTGCTTGGAAGGCTGAAAACGAGCAGCACTATTAGTCTCCGTCTGTGGAGTGAGACCCTGTAGACCCTGTACTAAATACGTTTAAAAAAAAAAATGTTTGAGCTAGTAAAACAGCCAGCTAGAAAGTGAGATTGTCAGACACTGGCAAACCACACAAATGTCCCTATTCTCCAGCATCTTATGTGTGAATGTGAGAGAGAGCGAGAGCGAGAGCGAGAGCCAGACACTTCAGCCTGACCTTCCATTCACAGTAGTCCTGCCTCAGTCTCCTGAGTTCTGGGATTAGAAGTGTGGTAGGATTAACCCCACCCGGGTGTGCTGCAGACCAATGGAAAGTGTAGGATATTTGGGGTTATACTATCAGCAAGAGTAACACACTTTGTAGAGTTTGGGAAAGGACATTTAAGGCTGAGATACTGTGTGTGAAAAACTTTTAGATGGAATTGTGTGAAGGCCTTGAAAGCAGAGAGGAAACAGCTTATTGGAGGAGCTCAAGTGGCAGCAGGGTGGGAGGGACAGACTGGAGCAGAAATGTACTGGGGAGGCCTAGGGTCCCTGTAAACCATCATGAAGAGTTTTAATTTTATGCCAGAACTGTAAAGTGGCATTGAAGGGATTTATGGAGGGTCTAAGGAAGTGATCATCCTTGTATTTAAAAAAGTTTTTGGCTGGAGCTGGGTGTGGTGGTGCATGTCTTTAATCCCACAGCACTTGGGAGGCTGACACAGGAGGATTGTTGTTACAAGTTCGAGACCATCCTGGGCTACAAAGTGAGCTCAAGGACAGCCTGAAGCAGCATTCCTGAGCAGGACCCTGTCTCAAAAAAAAAAAAAAAAAAGAAAGAAAGTTTCTGGCTGGAAGTGGGGTGTGATGGTGCATACAAAAATCAGTAAATAATCAAATAAAAAATTTTGTCTGGTTTTGAAACATAGAGGGACATGACTGATGTGGGAAAGCCAGTTCGGAGATTGTAGTTAAAAATGTTGGCTCATTTTTAGCCCATAGCTTGATCCTCTGGGCACTGTGCTGGTGGGGAATTGGATGAGGGAGGTTATGAAGCGGAGGTGGCTCCACTGTGGCCCCAGGACTGGCCCAGTGGAAGTGGAGGTGGTTTGAGATTCTGTCGTGGTTGCTGGGGCTTTGGCAGAGAGGTGGCAAGGCAGGTAGAGCTGCAGCTCCGTGCTCATGTGGGCCGGTTTGCTGAGCTGGGTGATAACTCAGCTGGTGGTTGTAATTACAGGATTGTGAAGGCCTGGGAGGGGTTAGTGCCTAAAACTTGCCTTTCATTTCAGCCTGGCTTTCGGTGTCCTAACCAGCCTTACCTGCCCCAGGGGCTGGGGGTTGAAATTTGGGTCTTGGCGCTGAGCTACATCACAGCTTTCCCCTTTAAAAAAAAATCTTTTTGGGGCTGGGGAGATGGCTTAGTGGAATAAGCGCTTCCCTGGCAAGCACAAGGGCCTGAGTTCAATCCCCGGTTCTGCCAAAAAAAACCCACAACTTTTTATTTATATATCTTATCTACTTATGTATTTATTTTTGGTGGAACTGGGGATTAAACTCAGGCCCTTGTGCTTGCCAGGGAAGTGCTTATTCCACTGAGCCATTTCTCCTACCCTTTATTTATGTATTTATTTGGTACAGGGTCTCGCTCTGCAGCTCAGACTTATAATGATCCTCCTGTCTCAGCCTCCCCAGTGCTGGGATTACAGGCGTGTGCCACCATGCCCAGCTTCGTTGGCCAGCACGGTAGCATGACATGCATTACCAGGAATAGAACTGAGATCCTTGCACTTGCTAGGCAGGTGCTTAGACTGCTGCACTATCTCCACGGCCCCATAGCTCGCTTTCTCTCTCTCATTCTCTCTCATTCTCTCTCTCTCTCTCTCTCTCTCTCTCTCTCTCTCTCTCTCTCCCTCCCTCCCTCCCTCCC